GGGGCCCACCCAGCCTCTACAATGGATACCGGGGTCCTTTCCCAGGGGTAAAGCTGGCCCATCTAGTGCCGAGGTCAAGAAAGAGAGGAGCTATACCCCCACTCCCCCCAAGCGCCTACATGGCGTATAGCGGGACAAACTTTATAAATGATAGAATACTAAGAAGACATTAACGTGTTAACTTTTAAAGTGTGTTCCGTGAAACAAGAAGTGAATTATTCATACTTGCTGTTTAATTAAAGCTCCAGAAGCAAAATTATGTCACATCACATTCTTTCTGTAGCGATAAGCTTGCAAATACCAGTTATATCACCCTGTGCGTTATACCATTTTTAGTGTGGCAAGCACCAGACAGAGGTCAGAGCGAACAGGAATAGAGGATAATTGTGCTGATATTCTGTTACGTTCGTACCACTTCAGGTTTTCACGAATAAATGTTCGGCCAGGAATTGCCACGTGAAGGAAGTCGTGCCGGTGACATGTGGTGAATGCAAGTTTAACTTTTGTCTTAAACATCGCCATCCGATAGATCATCAGTGCGAGGGTGCGGCAGGAGCAGCAAGGAGGAGGACAGTGTAAGTTACGCTGATACGCAGTATATGTCATATTTATCAACTCTTTGTGATATAAATAATTATTTTCTCCGCATTTTGTTTTGTTATATCCTCCAGTGAAGCTGCGATGGTCCGACAAGCAAAACTCTATACGTCTTCAAGCAATCAGGCTCCAAGACTAACGAGAAGTAAACCCGTGCCACCTCCGAATGCAGCGGCTATCATCCAAGGAGGATTGGTGAGTAGCAAAGCAAATCCTGGGTGTGTATCTGGTGTCAGCCGACTAGCAGTCCTTCGTACATGAATTTTTGAAGAGTTCTTTACACTTTAGTCTAATCTGAGAATGCCTGATGGGCATGTTCTGTCTGTCTTTTCAATATGCCAAATAGATGGTGCTGCCATCTGTCAGTGGCCACACAAATTATTGATATCAAACCCATCTGATGTGATTTCACTGTTGTTATTACCCATGATCCTTCTTGTTGTTATTGGCTTCATCGCCCAAATAAACATCCTTCTAGGCACCCGCTCGGAGATCGCTGAGCCTAGAAAACTTGCTTCATTTGCACGCATCATGTGTCACTCTCAGTGTTCAGGACAAAAGCCGTTACGCTAGATTTCCCTACTATATTTACTAGACGATGGATAATATCCAAGGAAATTTGTATTCAATTGACTCTTCACCATCGTCAAGAAGTTTTAGATTTGATATAGATTTCCCTGGTTTCCGGTTTTCCTTGCCGATAAACGATGAAACTCCAGAGAAATAAATCTAACGGAGATAAGTCAGGGGAATGGGGTGGCCGTGTCACAGGGCCTCCTCGTCGAATCCACCTTTCTCGAATCTTTCGATTTAGGCGTGTAGTAACCTCCCTGCCGTATTGATGCGGTGCTCCATCCGGATTCTTGATTCCAGAGGTACATCTTCCAATAAAATTTGAACTTCGTGTTGAGATCTGCTGTTAACGATTAGACCCATGTTGATATAACATAGAATTTTCCCAAGAATCAACTGATAAAGTATTGACATTTATTCCCGTGACACTCTGTATTTGCATAATAATTTCACACAGAGTGAAGACGAAGCTTTGGCACGTGCGCTGGCACTTTCACTTGAGGATTCCCAAGGTATAGAATCAAATGTCACCGTAAGAAACGACGGGCAGCAGCAGCGTCGTGAAGGCAACGTGTTGGGAAGATCTGCCACATTTTCACGTGACCATTGCACGGTGTGTTGAATTGCGAGTGTTGGTGGACGAAAATATCGGAGAAACAAAACCTGCTTCAAATTGCGTGTTTTAAAATTCTAGTCAATTCAGTTGAGCTCAGAATTATATATTGTACGTAAAGTAGTAGGGATATTTCTAGAAAGTACCGACGTTTTACTATGTTGCATAAATATTGAGAAATATAATTAAAGAATTAGAAGTTGTGTGTGTTTTTTTTTTTTTTGTTTTTTTATAAATGAGAACAGCATTACATGATGTTCTTCTGTTTATATCTATAACATTTTATCAAAATAATATGCAATAATAAATAATAATTAAATTACATTCTGTAATGTTTACAAGAACACCAGCTATTATAGAAAGATAACTTTCACTTTAAAATTAAGTGTTCGAGCTTGAGTCTTCTGATTTAGGGTGTTGCGCTAGATAATTGGGCAGTAAACTCATCACTTCTGCATCTAAACTACTAGTCTCGTCGCTGAGACAGCTTTCTTAAATTATATATTACGCTAGGTATTACGGGACCAGAAAAAACCTGTCACACGTGTAATAAATGCACCGTATTTTTTTAAACGTCTCTCTCGATAACTTGTGCATTTCTTCAGCGTCTTCTAATAACTCTCCTATTGGCAAGATGGCTGATTTTATTATATCCGAGCCATGAATCATCGATTAATGCGCGCTATCGACGGGTCAAGCGGATTTGGCGTGAATGGTCATTGTGGAATAAATGTGGGTAAGATGTAAACTTAAATAGTTTATTGTACTGGTAACAAAGAGAGCATTTATTAATCTTTAGAACTGTCACACTGCCAACTTCTGCTGGAAGATTTTTGCTGTTTTGAAATGGACCAGACTGTGCTCCGAATCAAAGTGACACGGTGCATTGCTGATGCGTTTATACAGATCAGCAAAACGCATCCTAGATCATTCCATTGTTTTCTTTGTTAAAAATACATCCATAATTCTGGACTTACCTCATATGTAGTGTTGTGCGATTGTTAGTCCAGTACCAAACTTAGAACCACGCTTCTTTTATTTTTACGTGTTTCACGTTTAAACTCAGCTTATTTTTGCAGTAACGCCAGAAAAAAAGCCAAAATTTGCACAAAATGGTTTCCATTGCCGTGCTTTGTAATGTTATACGAATGTCACATATATCCACATATAATAACGATGATTATGATGCTAATAACAATAAAATACAACAAATGTGGAAAGTAAAAGCAAAAGTGATTACAAAATTTTTGGAGCAACATCCCAGGTGAAAATAGCGAATAGATATAATAATAATAATAATTCAATTCCATTCAATAATAATAATGCCTTATGCAAATATGTTTAATGCGTGTGACACGTTATTACAAAAACAAAATGTATTTCAGAAATGACTGCTTCACTATGTACCTCAGGTGCAAGGTTTGTCTCAGGTACATTGAAATAAATACCCTGTAAAATGGTGAATAGACAGAATAATAATGATAATAGATATACACCAATGCCCATACGGAATGAGTCTGAAAATTTTGTGTATTAGAAATATATACATTTTGAAGGAATTAAGAAATAAATGTTTGCCAATCCAAAAGAGTTGATACAGAATAATGTAGTGAGTCTTGACCTGTATGTGCTTTTATATTGAATTGTATACACAGATCATCTTATTTTTTGGAAATTTTTTACTACAGGCTGTGGTTTCTGTTACTGTTTTCTTGTATAAATATAATGTGATATGGAGTAAATCTCTGAAAATTATTTTATCCACTCTTCATAGTGCCCAGAATTTTACCGATTGATGTATGATGCACTGCATCTACGCATACTTGGAAGTGTTTCAGATAGGAAAATACTAGGTAGGATTTGAGGTACCCACAGCAGCGAGTATGAAGATGGCTGTCTTCTGGGTTGTAGCATCGTGTATAGTCTGGTAGTTTACCAGTGTCCCATAGTTACTTTCCCTGATGATAGAGGCAACAGGTACCTCCAAAACATTGGTAAATTTATACCCAACTAAACAGCGCTACAACCCAAAAGACAGCCATCTAAATATGAGGTAATGATCCTTTTCTTTTTTCTCTCCTTCCTCTGATTTTATGTATTTTTTGGATGAAAATAATGAAATGGATGACAGGTATGAACGATTCATCCTTTTTTAACTTCAGATTCTGATTCGTGACAGTAGTTGCGCACTTCACGTAGTAGATTCATTGGTCATGTCTTCTCCAGCAAATCGAATAAATTACCCCCATCATTGAGTAGGAGTCACAGTGGCCGCGCGGTCTGAGGCGCGGGCCTTGTGCAGCTTGGTCGCTGGGACCGTGGGTTCGAATCCCACTCAGGCCACGGATGTTTGTCCGCGTTTTTCTGTGTTGTGCCGTCCTGTGTACACGTAGAGGCCTTGCGACTGGCCGATCCCTCGTCCGAGGAGTCGTACCGAATGTCCATAGATCAAGCCAACGGGAGAAAAAAGTTGGGACCCGCAGTGCTCAGGCACTTGAAGAACGGGTTGTCTCAGTATCCAATATCATAGAGTACCTTACTGGAATTCTGTCTTATCTTCATTCATGGTAACCGTACGTCAAGAATACCTCATCTTTTCAGAGTTCTGTTCATATTTCCTTACTCTTTGGTTTGCTAAGCTACTTAGACATTTGGTACGGCTCCTTAGATGGGTGATCAACCTATCATGCCTTAAGTGGCATTCAGACTCATGATCCCAGTGTCCAGGTGATCAAAGCATTCATATTTGCTGTGCGCGATTGTCACTGTACATTCAGCCTTTGAAAGTTGTTTTTATTTTCCATCTGAACAATTCTGAGAAGGTTGCAAAGTTTATTTTGGAATCACTTCATATACTGTATGGAATAATGGATCAGTAACATAACATTATATTGATTTATGTATTGTACGTGTAAGTTTATATTGTATATCTAGAAACATTCCATCTTCATTTTGGTATCCATCGGGTTGAAGATCATTCAGCTGCATAACTTTTGTTAATTTGTAAGTTTTTGGTGCATGAATATTGATGAAGTGTGGCTTATTACTAATTGCATCGTATTTCTTGATAGTTCAGTACCTGGTTAAAAATTCCTCATGGTATTACAACATGTTTATAACCTTTTAGAGTAATTGTTTATTGGCGAAACATGTTCACCTGTCACTTTTCGTCAACTGCCAAAATCTCCTCTGACAAAGGATTGTGTTCTTACGAAAATGCCAGAGTGGTTTCCACTTGGAATGTGTGAGACAGGCTGATACAGTCTCGCAGAGACCAGGTCCAGGAGAGAACAGTTCTGATAGGGATGGTGTATGTAAAGCTTAGAAATAATTTCGAAATTGTCTGAAAAGCGAACAAAAAAAAATTCCAAACAAAATTTTCGAAGTCCGAATTTTTTTAAAAAAAATGGTTTTCCTACATTTTTGATTTTTCGTAAATGTTGATTAAATTTGAAATTTTTTAACATGGTACTCCATTGAAAATTTTTGAAAAATTTAAAAATGGTTATAAACGTCGTGAAATTCGAAAATAACACACACCTTCAACCACATTCGCTCTGTGCTTCTCTCGGCTCTGGTGCCTGCCTGTGCTTCACCCAACCTCTGCGGACACGGCCTGTGCCACGCGGTCTCGGCTTGACTCGCTCTGTGCCTCACCGACTGGCGAACCAGGTCCATACACCCACGGCCTGTCTGTGCTTCACCTGCCTGTGTCTGTACTTGACACGTCGTGTGTCACACAGGGTCTCTCCATGACGCGAGCTCTGTGCCTCACACGTTCTCTGCTTGACCCGTTGCGTGCTTCACCGTGTGTCGAAG